TTCTGTGATACAGAAAAAACAACATGGACAGATGGCCTGAGGTATCATACTTTGTCCAATCTCTTTCCAATTTGTTAAAATTTGCTTTTTCATGATATTTTTATCAGCATTTTAAACTATGCAGAATTGTTGAGCTGTTACATATACTCTTTCTAGATAACAGCTGTATAGACCTATCCCAGCTTATGTTAACTTTGGGGATATGGCATGCCATAAGTATTTCATAGGAATAGTGAGCTTTTTCTCACTCAGTGGCCCTTCTTAAAAACAAGGCTTCAGCCCATTTCCAGACCAATATACATGGCTGTCTCCCTTTGTTCTGCTTAGGAATAGCTATAGCTATAGGTCTGTGGGCAGGGTAAACTGAAAGATGCTTTGGTCTGGTCCCCTCTCTCTGCTCTCATCATATTAACTGCCTCCAGAGTAGGAGAGATATAAATGCTCAGCCGCAGAGAGCACCTCGCCAATGGCAAACATTGCGGTAAAGAAATCTACAGTATTTTACTCCTTTCCATACAGATGGGGCTGATCCCTATTCCTCAGACTTGGGTATCTATCTATTTGGAGTAAACTTCAGGAAGAGGGGCTGCCCACTTTGTGGTTTCACTTTTTGTGTAGGTATAACTAAAAAGAAAGAAAGAAAGAAAGAAAGAAAGAAAGAAAGAAAGAAAGAAAGAAAGAAAGAAAGAAAGAAAGAAAGAAAGAAAGAAAGAAAGAAAGAAAGAAAGAAAGAAAGAAAGAAAGAAAGAAAAAAGAAAGAAAGAAAGAAAGAAAGAAAGAAAGAAAGAAAGAAAGAAAGAAAGAAAGAAAGAAAGAAAGAAAGAAGAACGTATTTTTAATCTACTTATGATCGATATTCTCCATTTTCCCCTCTAAGTCTACTACTCTCCACCCATACTCAGGGCTTCATTGCCCAGGTTCCTCTTACTGTCTGGATTAAGGTTGGTTTGGCCAATGGGAGGACAAGCTGACTAATAGAGAGCAGGAGGAGGGATCCTACAGGAAGTAGTCCCTTCATTTCCGCCCTGTGGTGGCAGCAGCTGCGCTTCCCTCCTGAAGGCCACAGCTTCTGCTGGGTGGAACCTCCTACAGTTCTCACCCGTTTCCAGAAACTGCTCCTGGCTTGTGCCTTCTGGCTTATGAGTGATAACAGCTGCAAGGGATCCTTCCCTCTCCTTCTCTGTAAATAATCCTTTCATTCATCAGCCCTGCCTGAGTCACCCTTTTAAGTGTGTTATCTCCTTCAGTTGGAATCCTCACTAATATATTTGACTCTTGGCAGATTTTAACAAATGAAACACGAATATCACAGTATTAAACCACTCAAACTGACCTTTAATAGTACAGACGTTGTACAGTAAATAAAAAAATATAATTCAAGGAAATTTACTTAAAATAAAAAAAATCACACAACCTACCAGAACAAAAAAGAGTCACTTTATGAAATAAAAAAATTAATGCCCAAAGTATGGACTTGGCCCCATGTATAAGTTAGACTATAGCTTTGGGGAATTGCTAAAACAACATTTCTTTCCATTGTGTATTTCACTCAGGCAATCAAATGCTTTGTAAATTTAAAAGCAATCAATTATAATGCTGTTAGTGATTGGAGGTATGTTATAAATGTGCCCTTGGAGAGGAAATCCAATGGAGTTAAGTGTTTGATGAAGACAGAAAATAGACATCAAATATTCAAGTTGCAACACCATCTGTATAAGAAGGCTTTATAAGTCCATCTACATATAAATCACTCACTTACAGACAAGACTGCTTCTCTATCTGTGAACGCCTCAAGTAGGAATTCTTCTCAGATCCAGAAAACCATTTGATTGGCTTAAACCACTACATTTGGCTAAGTCCGTGGTCAGCAAACTGCGGCTCTCGAGCCACATACGGCTCTTTGGCCCCTTTCGGGCGACTCTTCCACAAAATGCCACGGCCTGGGCAAGTCTATTTTGAAGATGTGGCTTAAGAAGAAGTTTAAAAAATTTGTCTCTCGAAAGAAATTTCAATCAATCATTGTACTGTTGATATTTGGCTCTGTTGACTAATGAGTTTGCCGACCACTGGGCTAAGTGAAATAAATAAACCTCTGTTCTCAAGTGCTAGCTTTTTGGCTTAGCCTGACTTTCTAAGTCATCAAATTCTAAACCTGACTACAGTGGGTTTTTTTGTTTTTGTTTTTTTTTTCTTGGTTCAAATCAGAAATGACATTACATTAACACTCTGTTATCAGACAATCTTTCAATGTGCACTGACAGGAGCAGGCAGGGCGCTAACAGTTTAACTGAATCACACTGAGAACGTAATGATGTGGCTGGGCTTTGCCCTCCCTGCCGCTCAGGGCTTGCAGCCTCTGCCAGCATGGCGATTGGGGTGGGTGCTTTTTCTAGAGCTTTGGTCTGGTTCAAAGTCTGATTCTGGATTCAAGCTCTCTGAGGCTTAGGTCTTCTGGAGAGGCTTTCTATAGCTTCAAGGCAAACTCAGGGCCCTAAAGTATCTTTGGAGATTCAAAGCCATAGTTTAGGATGAGAATTTCCCCGTTCTTTCCTGGGAAAAATGGCCTGGGGGCACAGTGAACTGTCCAGCAATAATTCAGCTCAGAACAGACTGCTTTGGCCTGTTTCTGGACACATAAGGTTGGGGCTGACATTTTGAGGTGAATATCCAATATATTTTCTCCCTTTTCATTACACTGACAAGGGCAAAGGCTAAAATCCAGGTCTTCTTTCATCACAATTTGGTTCTTTAATATACCAGGCTAAGTTCAGTGTTTTTTCATTTAACTTGAAAATGACTCAATAAACCTAAACAAGTATGTCTGATGGGGTGGGATTAAAATATACCTAATCCTAGTAAAATTTTCTGTTGCCTTTAAATTACCATTCATACTAGGTGAATGACTATTACGTAGGATTTTTATCTTCAATTCCTTCTATATATGTATCAGTGCAAAAGAAATAGTTATTTAACACAGTGCAAGAAACACCAGTAAACTAGGGAATAAAGCTCTAGAAATCTACCAGTTCTTAAAAGTCTTAAACTGTTATATTTTGGGCGGCCAAAGTGAATTATTTTGTTCCCACTAATGATATTATAATATGTCCAAGTTTGCTTTTTTTTTAAAAAAAAAAGTTATTAGGCATTATTCCAGACTATTTTTTTGGGGTGAGATGGGGTGAAAGATCATAATTAACATTTTCATTTGGAGGGGGGGAAAAACACACCCATCTGATGAAAGAATTCAGATTCAAAGTAACCTCAGAATTTTATGTTTAGGAATTATCCATGAGCTTAATTCCTTCTACTTGGTAGTCAGGGAAGATTTATTTACATGTGCAGAATTTAGTTAAGTTAAATTTTGCCTGGTTTGTTTAAATTAGTAGAAAAGCAAATAATTTATTCTTTTTAAAATAAGAGCTGATTTGACATAGATTGTGTCAAATACACTGGTGCCTAGAATGGTTTTAAAAAAAACTCCAAGTGATCATCTAGTTTGATAACTACTTATAGAAAATGTTTTTACGTAAGCAACTCAATGAGGTTTTGGAAAAAAAACTAACATCCCTTTGTGTGTGTGTGTGTGTGTGTGTTTTATAACAGCTATGTTGTAATAAAACTCACTGGAAAAAAAATAGATGGTTTTACTACTTGGAAGATCATGGTGGAAGGAAAAAAATCCTCTAGCACCAAGTACTATATTGAATATTTTAAACTCTAATTTATAATGCAACCATACTTTAAAAACATGCTAAGTTAAATTTTATTTTCTATCTCATTGAAAAAATATTATATTTATTCTAGCTATTAAATGCTATTTGGAAGGATTTAGCAAATACTATTTCATTTTCAAATTTTTGTTTTATAGTTTATTTTTGTAACATTTCAGATGAGTTTACACAGTAACTAGGATATGATTAAACAGTGCAAATTCACTGAAATAGCTTGATGCTGAGTTTACACCAGGCCAAACATTTAGATGTAGAAATATATAAAGACATGACTCACTGATACAGGATTTCCAATGTAGTATTAGTGAACCATGTTTCCTGGATAAAAATACGGGCAGATGAGTTTTGCTACAACACAATCATCTTATAAAGTAGATGTCAGTCATGGCCTCAACACCAGTGTTAAAAGGGTTCCAGAGCATCTGAAGAACTGACTAGATTTTTCAGTTTTTAACCCTAAATTCATGGCTTCAGACATAGCGACCTATACTCTCCCCCTGGAAATAGAATGAAGAGTATTAATCAGAATCAACTTTCTTACTAGTCTATTATTTCTTGGAAAATTCCTGACGTTTTCTTAATTACTATTGGACATTATAAAATAAATAACCTGATACTTTGACACACAACTTGCAGAGGACTAGTGAAAAAGCTCACACCAACCAATTGAGTCTATTCTTCTACTAGTAATACCGCAGTGAGGAGAGTGCACTCCTACCATCCCACGCACACACATATTATACTACCAAGTGCCTATAGTTCGAATACTCATTTTCCAAAGAAAGGGTGTGTTAAGCAATCACAGAACACGAGGCTTGGCTGCTCCCACATATCTACTTCCTAGAAAAACACATATGAAGTTTTACCTGGTCTGACTGTGCACCGTATGCTTATAACAGTAGTAACACAGAAGAGGAAATGGAAAACGCACAGTAACTCTTTCAGGTTTTAAACAGATTACAAAACCACATGCTCTCTCATCCAACAGGAAAGCTTCAGCCAAAAGGCAACCGATCTTTCATGCAGCTGGCTGTTCCTCTCAAAGGCCATGTAAGGAACATGCTCCTGGAGGGTGGATTTCCACAGCTCCTCCCGAAACCTTCCAGGAAGTGCTTGTCAGCTCCTCGGCGGCCTAGACCACTGCTGAAAGGTTGATTTCCTCTGTCTTACGAGGGTAGCTTCAGCTTTGTTTACAAACTACTTTTCTCCTTTCTCCAAGGAGCCATTTCAGAATGATCTTCCAGATGCTGGCTAACGAAGCACTCTTAGCTATTGTCCACAAAGGTCAGTATGTTTACTGGCGTTTGACCGCGTGGAACAGGAAGTTTCCGTTGCATCTTGTGTTCTTAGTGAAGCCCGACAACAGAGGACCGAGCGCATGAGTCTCAGAACAGGGGGCCTCAGGATGGCAAAGACCCAAGGGTTGATGATCGGATTGACAGATAAAAACCTAAGTGCTTGGAGGTCCCACTTTTCTTTTCGAGAAGAGGTTTCATTCATATACGCAAAGATCTGTAAGAAGCAAAAGGGAGAAATTATGTTAATTGTATGTTATCGCAGTGGACAGGCTTAGACCATAGGCAGTTTCTCCAGATTTAAAGCAAAACCTGTTTTGTGTGCGGTGGCGGTGGTGGTGGTGAAAGGTGGATATAGCAAATTCTCACTCTCCTTCCGTGGGTTTATGCCTTTCAGAAACCCTGAAACAGAAGTATTGTCTCCTTTTGGCGGATGAGGAAGTGAACTTCAGGAAAGTTAGTAACAGCATGTTACACTCACTTCCAGATACTTAATCTGATTTGATGATCACAATTCAGTGCGAGAGGAAACACAACAGAGCATGGATTCTGGCCACTGGGCTGCCTGGTTTGAACCCGGGTTCCATATATAGCTTTGGGACCAGAAGTAAGAATCTAACCTCTTTGTGCCTCAGGGACATCTGTAGAACAGGTGGTAATAGCAACAACACCCACTTCTTAGCTGGAAGAGGGCAGGAAGTGCTATGTGTAAGCTATGTAAAACAGCACTCACCTAGTAAGTGCCCCACAGGTATGCTCTCCATTTCACCAATGAGGACCCTGAGGTGCAGAGAAGTTCGGCGACTCGTCCAAGTACCCAGGGCTGTTTGGTGGTGGAGTGAGGACACAGGGGCCAGCTCCCTCGGCACCAGTGCTTTGCTCACCATGATATTACAGCAAAGGTCTCCGAGCAATGTCTTAACCACTGAGAGGCTGACCCATCTTTACCTGTGGGCCAGTGTTTTCATGCTGGGATACCAGCTCTCAGGGGATTTCTTAGATGTTTAGGGAGCAACACAACTTTTTGGTCAGATGAAAAGGATTAGGACTGTACATGCTCGATAAAGATCAAACACTTACACACAGCTTACTGAAAAGAGGAAAACAGATGTAAATCACACCCAGTCATTTAAAACCACTTTATAATGTCCCAGGGGCTTTCTTGCCAATGGGAGCCCACGAGGTAGAAAGCTAGTCCTTCTTTCTCCCACTCTCCTGCACCAGCGGAAGGAATGTTTTATTTCCTTCTCTCCTGCTTCCTCTGGAGGCATCTGACGAATGAATACACAAAGCAAATTGCAGGGAGGGGGAAGAGTGGTCCTGCTCGCATTGCTTACGTTAGGACAATAGCAGGAAGGTTTGGCAGCCACAGGTGTTTATGCCAGAGACTCTTGGCATAGGGAATGGAGAAAAGATTTGGCAGATGAGTAAGGAAAAAGAAGACTGATGGTGGAGTCCCTGATTACAGAGAGAAGAGACAGTTAGGTGGGGGTATGCAGTGGGGCAATCACTTCTTGGCAGCTGAATTATTTTAGATGAGAACTATACAGGACTTATATGGTGTCTTTAAGGAGTGATTTTGGAGTTTGGAAATTCAGGATAACATTGTATGTAAACCTGGCAGATTAAGATACAGTAGTCACCACATGCATGGGCACGCATGCATGCACTGGTAGCAGAAAAGTCTGAGTTTTATAATCTGGTTTGGCCAAAGACTTGGATAACACTGCACTGGCTAGCAGATGGGCAGTGTAGGGAGGGCCTGGCATTCTAGGCTCACGGCTTCACTGTGAAGATGAGTCAGGTTTTCAGTTCCTGGTCTCCTTGGAGTATGACAGAGCAATGAGAAGTGAGAAATGGTTTTAGACTATGAAGCAATTCTGTACTACTTGTTTCCATTTCATCCACTATGCAAATTGTCAAAAATGCTTAACATTAGCTTTCCAGGAGCCGGCCAATATTTTGCAGAAGACAATTTCTTGTTTAACTCTTGGGAAAGAGATACATACTTCAGTAGCCCTTGAAGTTCTTGATGTAAGATGCCTTCTCTGACCTCTGCATTTTTAAAAAATTTGGTTCTTGTCTTTTGTCTAGAGTTCACCATTTCTTATCTTGTGGATACTGGATGGTTGTTGTTGTTGTTATTATAAAATGCCCATAACAAAATTTACCACTTTCACATGTACAGTTCAGTGTCATTGAGTGCATTCACACTGTTGTGCAGCTGTGTTATATTTTTCATTCTCTGTACATTAGGATGTTTTGACACACTACAAGGCTTTCTGGCTGGGGAGAGACTCCCCTTCAGGGACGGTCAATCCTTAGAGACAGCCAAGGGCTCACCAGGGAGCGGTCCTTCCACAGGCAAACTAACCAATCCAGAGCCCCTCTGTCTGGCCTTATATCCCAAGAGGCAATATTTCCCTGCCTTAATCTTGCCAAGGCCCAGGACCAGGCAGCTAGGGGCCAGTCCTGCAGCCTAGAGCCTGCTGAAGTGATTCCAATGGCAAGGAGGAGGAGGAAGAGGAGGAGGAGGAAGAAGAGGAGAAGAAAGAGGAGGAGGAGGAAGAGGAGAAAGAGGAGGAGGAGGAGGAGGAGGAGGAGCCAGTCCTGCAGCCTAGAGCCTGCTGAAGTGATTCCAATGGCCAGTCCTACACTGGTCACCGCGCCTTGCCTCGCCTTTCCTTCGGGAACGCCAGTGAAGGCCGCGCCCAGGCTCCCCAGCTCCTGCTCCTGCCTCCTGCCTTGCGCTAGTACTTTCCCATGTGGTCCTTGGTGCTGTTCAGCCCTTCCTGTTTCCAGGACCTGGGAGTACAACCAACTGTGTTCTCTGGTCTTCTTGTGCGGCCACACTTGGCTGGCCATCTCATCCAAGAACAGAACAGCTGCCATCACCACCATCCATTTCTACAACTCTTTTCCTCTTCCCAAACTGAAGCGCTACCCATTAACCAATAATCCCCCATTCCCCTCTCCCTCCAGCCAATCCCACGTTTTCATTAAAGGCTGACACATTGCATAGAAGCCAATTAATTATCACGTTTCAGTGCTATTTTGCTTCAGAGGCTGGTAGAAATTATACATATTTTGCACATACTACTAATAAATTTATTATGAGAAAAACACCAAGTGCTGATGTAAATGAGCCAAGATAATTTTAATTCCTTAGGAAGGCCTCTCTACTAGGCTTTATTAAGACTATGATGCCTACAAAGCTGCACAGATAAAAATAAGTGGATTTTGTTTGTTTGTTTGTTTCATCTTTTATAGAATCCTTGCATCCTCCTGTGGAAAACCTCATCTCGACACTGACCGGATACTGTTTGTTTGAGCTACTTTCCTACAATCAATACAACCACGTAGTGGGTTCAAGAATTCTAGTGCAAATGAGTACTTCATCTGGCTGAAATTACCCAAGGAGTGTTAAAAATATTCGCGTGTTAGTCCCCTCTCAACCCCATGTGATTCTAATGTGCAGCCAGGGTTGAGAACCCTGCTTTAGAACCTTACCCAACACCTGAAATAAAAACAGAATACCTGCTCAGGCCTGGCCAATCAAACAAATGACTTGAAACTTCTTGAATTCCTGATCTTTAACATACAATCCATTTTTCCTTTGGAATCCCATGGGTATAGCAGCTAATATGTACTGAATACCTACATGTGCCAGGCATGATATTAAATCTTAATTCTATTTAGTCCTTACATGGACCTGCAAAACATTATTACTCCCATTTTGGAAGGAGGAGACCAAGGCTTAGAAGATTACTGACTTTGTCCCAATCACACTGCAGGTAAGTGGGGAAACCCTAGAGTCATGTTTAAGCAGTGGGACCCAAATTTTTCTTTTAGCCTCTACTCTGCTGCCAGCCTGTGATGTAGGGCCTCATGTAACATCGACCAGGGGTTGACTGAATTGTGGGTTTGTCAGACACCTTTTTAAGATTTACGGGTGTCATTGTTAAGAACCATGGTTAGCTGAAAACGGTTTGGCTCAGTGGATAGAGCGTCGGCCTGCGGACTGAAGGGTCCCTGGTTCAATTCCTGTCAAGGGCATGTACCTTGGTTGCGGGGAACATCCCCAGTAGGAGGTGTGCAAGAGGCAGCTGATTGATGATTCTCTCTCATCGATGTTTCTAACTCTCTATCCCTCCCCTTTCCTCTCTGTAAAAAAAAAAAAAAATCAATAAAATTTATATTAAAAAAATTAAATATGGATGCACACTACATCTCAGAATAAGTTAAAAAAAAAAAAAAGAACCATGGCTATATCTAAGTAGCTATATGGCTTTCTTTGGGTGTTTTTCTTTCACCCACTTTCTACAACTACATTGCAGGCAGATATTGCTATATATTTATCTTCCTTGTGAAGACATTAGTGAGTGTCCTGGCTTTAGGCTTTGCATAATTCATTCTTTAAAAAAAATTCTCGGGGAGGTTATTTTTAAGGTAATTGATATTTTAAAGAAACCCCTCTTACCCCAAAGCATAGGTGCTCTGTGGTAGAGGGAACAGAAGCTCATTTTCCTTTAGAAAGAAAGAGGGACATGGATGTGGCTCCAGTCCTTGTGCTGCAGGTGATACCAGCGCCAGACACAAAAGAGTTAATGCCAAGGTTGGGAGCTCTGAGCCTAAATATTCCAGGGTAGTGACTCTAAACCCTTCAAGAAAATGTTGGACACTAAACCATCTACCCAGAACTCAGATAAACATAAGATTTTGCAAGTGATTGGCAAGTGACCGTGGAGTGCCAGTGTACAGGAAGTGTCAGCCTTTCCCAGGTGCACTTTCCCTCCGCCCGCCCCATCACACACACGGAGCTGCAGAGGCCTTAAATCTAGTTTTCCGCTAGAGTGGGTGTAATTTCAGGGGAGCGGAATAGTTTGAGAAACATGAACCTTGGTACACCTTGATATAATTTGAGACACTTAAAAATGTTAGTCAAAATGAGGATGGGAAATGGTGATCAGAAACTTCAAAACGGAAGCCAGGAGAAGCCAGGGAAATTAAGACCAGGTTGCAAGTTAACTGGGCCTTTAGGTGGGAAAAGACTTGATTGCCCACCTGAACCACTGTGTCTCCATAGATCAATCACGCACCATTTCTACTCTTTTCCTCCCCTTTAACTTAATACTGTGCTGGGCTTTTGAGATAAGAAAGAAAGAAACAACAACAACAAAAAAGAAACATACCATCCCTAAAAGCTGTTTTTCTGTAAGTTGAGATCTTAATCATATGAAATAGTGATGATTAACTCAACCTAGGGTGGAGACACAACACACGACTTCCCCTTTGGAAAAAGGACCATGGTTCTTGCCTTCTACATTTTAAAAACTCAGTGCAATTGTGCTTTTATTCACAACCACCATTTTGTAATATCAACGTGCAAAGGAAAAGATATCGAGTGAAAACACTCATATAGGAAAACTTTCTTCTCTCAGAAAGTAATGTGTATTAAAACTATTTCAACCATCCCCAAACAAATCATTAATGATGCACAAATATTAACTTACATGGATATTAACTTAAAATATCACCAAGCAAAGTTCACTGGGGTTGTGCAGAGAGATTTCTGGATTGCTCTTTCATTCTTACTAGAATTGTGATACTTTCCATGTCTGTAACTGGTCGGTTTCATAACCCCCATTCATGTCATAAAGAGTACTAGGAATGAACAGGAAACTCCAAACTCCAGTATTGTTTACTTGAAATTTGTTCTGTGTCACAAAGATCAGATTTCCACAAATCAGTATTACCTGGAAATTATAGCCCTAAAGAATTTCTAAAGAAGAAGACATTTTTAGAATGAGTTGATGGTTCACTCTTGAAATTTTAGAACTGGATAAAATGTATAAGCACTTTGTCCTAATGGCATGTGAAAAACAGTTTAAAATGACAGAAGCTACGCCGGGTATTAGTAAAGTCATGAGAAAGTGGCTTGACGTAGTTGGGAATGAAGACATAAACAGTATCAGAGGCAAGAATGGAGTCTGATCTATTTCCTGCATTCTGTTCCATTTCATGAAGAAAGTTTCTATGTCTCTGTGAAATGATGACAACAGCTGATGAACATAAGGAGGAATTTATTAATTTATACAATATCTCTTTTAGTCCGTAAACAGTTTGGTTTTGGAATATGTTGTTGGTCCCATTAAGGATTTCGTACTGAACAACCAAAATAACGTCATTTCCTAAACAACACATGCCTTTTTTTTTAATCAGTTAAGAAATGTTTCACGGTACCAATAGAAGACTTTATGTGAGAGGTAATCTGAATGTTTCCTATTTAGAGCAGCATTTACAGTATCCAGGCTCCTTAAACCTCGGCCTCAGCCTTTTCATTGACAGGTGTGTGGAGAAGAAAGGATCCACACACCCCAGGCCTACCTCATGCCCTTGGATCAGACAAGGAGAAAAGGTCTTTGCCATTTTCCTTTTAAAGCTAGTAAATTGGAATTAAGAGGCAAAGGGGTCCTGGTTTTTATAACATCTTCTCAATTTCTCTTTGAAACTTTGGATTAATTTTCTCATGGTACCCCTGAAAGGAGCAATTTCTTGCTGATAGTATTATGGTTAAAGCATAAGCTCTGTGCTTAAACTGCCTGACTTCGAATCCTCTCTCCAACATTCACCAGCTGTGGGTGGGAAATGGGAATAATAATACTACCTATTTTACAGGTTGTTGTGAAGAGAATGGGTTAGTGCAGTGGTTGGCAAACTGCGGCTCGAGGGCTACAGGAGGCTCGAGAGCTGCGGTTTGCCGCTCTGCTGACTATGAATTTGCCGACCACTGGGCTAGTGTATGTAAAAATTAGTGCTTAAAAATGTCAGCCATTTTGTTGATGATAATGATAATGATTTTTTGAGGGTGAATTTTACTTCATCACGGGGCTCTGGGTATTTTACATTTTGATATTTATACTTCCCAAACTTAGGAAGTCCTAGACTGAGATCCTTGAAAGAAGCAGTAATTCTGACCTGCCCACACCTTCAACATGACATTAGAAATTACAGGTTTCCTAAATCCCCACTCCCCTTCCCCAGCTCCTAACGTGCTGACACAAGCAGGGGTCCCATTGGGCACACAGCCGGGAATCCCTCTCCTTGCTGGGCCACTGAGAAGGGACATAGAAGGCAGCTCTGGAAAGAACAGGCAAAAAGAGGGTAAACTGCCAGTATGTTCTGGGATGCAAGGAAGCAAATTAGTGGGAATAGCTCACTAAGAATTATTTTACCTTGATCACATTTTAAATTGATAACACTTTGTATAATTCGAGTGAAAGAAAATATATTGATTAAAATGAATATCTGTTTCTTTTTATTTTTTGTTGTGTGGCTACTAGAAAGTTTTAAATTGTACATGTGGCTCACATTTGTGGCTCATGACCGCATGTGCTCTGGGAGAGGAACATGAGAATGTCTAAAGGTAACCACGAGTCTTTGCCTTGTCTGACAGTGTCCCCAGTTAGGATGTGTGGAAATGATCGCTGCCTCAGCGGGGAGACTGGAGTAGGCCATTTCTGACCACAGTCTCAGTGTGAGCCAATAAGCTAAAAGGATAAGGGGGAATGGTGTCCCATGGGGCACGTGATGAGCATTTTGAAACAACAGACTGTGTGCACCAAACTGTAGCTATGAGTTGTGAATTATCAGATAAGCTCCTCTAAGAAATAAATTGGGATAGTGTAACACTTCCTAAGGGTTAAAGTGCCGTGTAAATAAAGGAATAACAAGAACCAAGAATCTACTGACAAAATAATCTTCATCTAGCCCCTCCCATGCCATAAACAGGCAATCATAATGAAAACACGGCTTCAGAGCCAACTCCTACTGCCCATTCCTTCTAACCAGATGCTGAGCTCCAAGCTCCTTCCATGTAGCAACTCTGGATCTGCCCCTGGCTTAATATTAAATGAAGGGGAGGCATATATATATATATATATATATATATATATATATATGTATTCAAATATATCCAATCACATATATTTGGAAAGCAACATGTGGTGATGATGGAGTCCTCATGATAAAAGGAAAAATTACTTAAAAACACTGCCTTTGTTTTGGAAAATACAGTTTATGCAGAAGATCAGTCATGCTCAGAGGGGAGACCCTTTCCTCCTGCTCTCTTCCTCTACCGGGCCTAGGAAAGGAAAGAACAATCCTTTCACATTTCTGATTCCCTCTGAGCCCATCCCTAGGCTGTTGAAGTAGCTGAGAGTCAGGAATATTTTTATATCCATACTCACAAATAATAAATATAATGCCAAGAACTGATATCCTAAGGCCCACCTATCCAAGACAGGCATTCCCCAATTCAGAGACAGTTTATGTCTCCCAGGGTGAATTCTAAGTTGTTTAATGGAACTTGAACTACTTTCTTTCATTGATACTTATTCTACATCCTATTCCCAGCCCTAAAAAGCTGATTTAGCTCCTAACATAATCCATGGATTTTTATCAGAAAAACATAACAAACTCACAGAAGCCATGTTGGTTTCTACCTCATAGCATTTCTGTTGCACAGACTTCCCTGCTGTTGGCGGGATGGGAATTGCAGCCTCCCACAGTCCTCTTCATTTAATAGCAGGGTACATTTTACATGCTCCACCTCATTCCCTTCAAAGTGTACCTTACTGGCCAGCTGCTGCCCTGACAAAGGATGGGGCAGTAGGGAGGACAGTGAGGACCCGGGAGGAGAGAAGATCGCTGGGAAAGGGAGTTGATTTGGGGCAGGGAAGGGTCATATCCGGGCTTTTAGAACCCTGTGTCCTTTCCCACCCCTGAAGATGAGCGTATGAAGATAATAAAAAAAACAGGGGTGACGATGGGAAGTAGGATAAAGTTACTTCTTCGGCTTCTACAGTTCAGACTGGCTAATGGCAGGCATGGCCTGTCTTTTTCCCTCCAGGAACGTGGCAGGTGGGAGTCACTGACAACCATGCACTGCCTGCAGGGTCAGGCTTGCTCTTCTGAAGATTAGGAAGTGGAGCTGCCAGAACTTCCAGTTTCCAAAACAGCCCGTGCTCAGACACATCCCAGGCTCTGTACACCGTAGGAGGCTCAAACAGCATCACCGAACTAACTGCTGAGGTTGCCCCAAACCAGGGCAGCACCCACCATTCCCTAGGCTCCTTTCTTTCATTTCTCCAGACAGGCTCTGGCCCGCCCCTGGAGCCGGGTCCTGGAGGCGCTGGACATGCCTACCTCTCCCACCCCTGAAACGGACCAACCATTCATGTTGTGGACTGGGGCTCCAGCGCGCAGTTATAAACTGATGAGCACCTGGGTGTATTTACAAAACGTCAAGAAGATGTTTTGTAAGAAGAGTGCAAATGCCTCCTCTTAGAGGGAACTGGTTCCTTGGCAACCAGCTTTCCCTCTCACTACCGTTACAGATGTATTATGAATTTTCATGGCCACAAAGAGTTATACTACCTATATGTAAATTGGGAAACCTGTACACTGGGGGGGGGGGGGGGGGGGCGGGGGTGATGCTGTTGAACTCTTCGAACAATAATGAGGCTTTGACACTCTGCAACAGGGACCCTCTCACCCGGAAGCATTCTCAGTGGCGGCTGGGATGCTCTGGGTTGGGTGCTGTTTCCCGGGAGAAACAGCAGGCAACGTATAGAGAACCAGCACCGGTGTGCGGAACGGGGTACCAGGAGGCAGACCGCAGCTCAGGGAAGTCAGATGTAACTGCCAACCGCTGAGAGGTGGAAGGGGCCACGCCAGGCTGGCAGTGGCTGGAGAGGGACACTCTAGGGGCCTTTGATTCTGGGATGAGTGAGTGCCAAGGCTCCCTGTGCCTGTATCACTGGGACTGTCTCACCATCTGAGAAACACTGGCCTAAGGAGGCCCTCGCACCAGGATCGGGGAGGAAGCGGGGTAAAGGTGAGAAGCGGCAGGGGAAGTGTGCAGACCTTGACAAATGAGGGCACCTTGGTGCAATGTTACAAAAGTTTGTGTGTGGCCGCAGAAAGGTGGGAGTGAGAGTGAGAGGGGAGAGCGTGAGAAGGCTGCCTGCCGCAGGGCTGGGCTGTGGACACCGCGGGGGCGAGGGACTGACTTACCGTGAAAGGCAAGGAGCAGACGGCGAAGGTGATGGTCATGATGGCGAGGAGAATGAGGTGGTCCGTCTCCTCCGCCATGGACACCCTTTCCCCTCTCCTGCGGGCGGCGGCGGGGCCCCGGCAGCTGCCCAGGGCGGGGGCCCCGCAGCGGCCCCTCCGCCCCCGACGGTGCATGCGGACGAGGTTGAGGATGACGCTGAAGTTGCAGGCGAGCACGGCGAGGATGAGCAGCAGCAGCAGCGTGGCGTAGAGCTGCAGGTACACGGTGCGCCCGTGCCGGATGAAGCACCAGGTGCCGGGGCAGTACTGGACGTACTGGCCGTAGCTGAGCAGCGGCGGCGAGCAGAGGAGCAGGGACACGGCGTAGATGGCGGGCAGCACGGCCACGCCGCGGCGGCGCTTGACGTGGCTCTGGTAGAAGTAGGGGTGCCCGATGGCCAGGTAGCGCTCCAGGGCCATGGCGAAGAGCATGAGCATGGTGGCCAGGCTGAAGAAGGTCATGGAGAAGGCGAAGTAGCTGCAGGCGCGGCGACTCCCGGGCGCCAGGGCCACCAGGGTCTGGTTGCGCGCGTACGAGGCCAGCACCACGGGGCTGATGAGGCAGGTGCCCAGCAGGTCGGTGAGCACCAGCTCGGTCACCAGCACGTGGAACAGGGAGATGAAGTTCCCGCGGCAGGCGCTGCGCCCCGCGTCCCCCCGCCAGCGGCGCGCCAGCAGCGCCAGCGCGATCAGGTTGCCCAGCACCCCGGCCGCGAACATCACGGAGCTGATGGCCGGGCTCTCGCCCGCGGGCAGCCACTGCCGGGTCTCGCAGTCCTCGAACCGGGAGTCATTGGAGGCGTTGCCCATGGCGGGGTGCCGGGAGCAGGGACGCGTCCTCCTCTCCCGGCTGGCACCTGGGACTGGGAGGAGGAGGAGGGGGAGGAGGAGGAGGGAGAGGAGAAGGAGGAGGGTCTGGACGCGGGAGCGCCCCGGGAGCCGGAGGGAAAGAGGGAGGGATCGGAATCCAGAGCCCCCTTCCGGGCCCCCGCGCGCGCCGAAGGCAGGACCGGCCAGGGGCGCCCACACCAGCTCGGCTGCAGCATCCGGGCGGCGCTGGGGGCTCCGCGACCCGCGCCCCCAGCCCGCCGCTCAGAGGGGGAGCCTAGAAGGCTTCCTCTTCTTCCTCCTCCTCCTCCTCCTCCTCCTCCTCCTCCTCCTCCTCCTCCTCCTCCCTCCTCCCCCTCCTCCTCTTCCTCCTCCTCCTCCTCCTCCTCCTCCTCCTCCTCCTCCTCCTCCTCCTCCTCCTCCTCTTCCTCCTCCTCCTCCTCCTCCTCGGGGCGCGCTGGGCGCGGGGTTAGCGCGTCCTGGTCCGGACCGGGGGCACCGCGAGCCCCAAGGGAGAGGGGGCCGGGCACCGGCGGGCGCGGAGCTGGGCAGAGGCGCGCGGGCTGTGGGTGTCCGTGTCCGGGCGCTGCTAGACCATGCTCCTTCCTCCGCTCCCGGGAGGCTGGTGCTGGGAGCCTGGGGTCCTGGGGTCCTCTGTCCCCCCGCTAGGAAGCTTTCAGCCCGGCAGAGGGCTGGAAGGCAGCAGGGGGAGAGCAAAGCGACTCACCACACAGTGGAGAAGTCAGGGACACCCAATCCCCTGAAGTTAAAAAGGACTAAGAACCGCTTGCAGTAAGACCAATATGTTTGTGTGTGTGTGTGTGTGTGTGTGTGTGTGTGTGTGTGTGTGTGTGTGTGTGTTTAAGCATTCTAAGGAAGATGCACTAAGAGGGCGGAACCAAAATTGGGAGGAAGTGAAAAACAAGTCTGTCTGTCCATCCAAGGAACATCCCACGAAGCCGCCTGTTGCACAGTTGCTTTTATTCGGTTGCCAGCATTTCACCTTTTCCTATGTCAACACCATAACGGATAACCACTTCGTTAAGCAATCGTTGTGTGTGTGTGTGTTTTTTTAAGGAAAAAAAACAAAACAAAACCCAAAAACCAACACCCCACAGTGTTGCTTGTGCTTGTGTAGAACTGTGTGAGCACGGCTTTAAACTGCTGCACGTTGTTCTCTACTCTAACTCCACCTTGAAAGAAAAGGCGGTGCAACCATTAATTTTTCAGTTAACCCATTCCTGGCAAAGCCTATCGGTTAAGTGGTCAGTTTAAAAGTCAAGCCGACAAAAATGGTTGCTTACCGTCTATTGCCATAATTGCAGAGTTGTGAAAATGGGCTGATGTTTAAAACAAAATAAATCCAGTTTGACAGATAATATGGGTAATTGTATTCCTTTTTTTTTTTTTTTTTAAATATCCTCACTGGAGGGTATTTTTCCATTGATTTTTAGAGAGTGGAAGAGAGAGGACAAGACAGAGAGAAATCGATTAGTTACCTCCCTCGCAAGCCCCGCCTTTGACTGGAATCAAAGTAGGACCCTTTGGTTGGCAGGCCTATGCTCTATCCACTGAGCCAAACTGGCCAGGGTAGTAATCCTATATAATAAAAATCTAATATGCTAAGTGTCCAGTCATCTGGTTGTCCATTCAACCAATCTAAGCGTACTATGCTAATGATATGGTAAGGCCACTAAACCACTTGCTATGTGGAGCTTCTGCCCTGACCACTAGGGGGCAGACAGTTGACAGGTTGAACAGTCACTATATGTGCACTGACCACCAGGGAGCAGACACTCTGACCCGGAGGTTAGCTTGCTGCGGAGGTCTGGCCAATAGGGACTTAGCAGGAGGGCTGGACACGCCCTGGAACCCTCCCGCAGTTCCTCCCTGGCTGGCCAACCTCCTGTGTCCCTCTCTGACCCCGATTGTGCACCGGGGTCCTTCATCCTGGCTTGAGCCAGGAACCCCTTAGGGGATGTTGGAAAGTCAGTTTCTGCTGATCCCACTCAATGCAGGAGCTGCCCTCTGGTGGTCAGTACTCTTCCATGGGGGAGAGGGTGCGTTGCTCAGCCAGAAGCCGGACTCATGGCTGGCAAGCACAGTGGTGGTGGTGGGAGCACAGCTCCATGGCAGTGCTAAGGATGTCCAACTGCCAGCTTAGGTCCGCTCTCCATGGAGCCAGCAGTCAGACATCCCCCCAGGGCTCCTGGACTGTGAGAGGGTACAGGCCAGGCTGAGGGACCCTCCCCCCATCCCTTTCAGCGCCTCTAGTATCCTATATAATAAAAGCTTAGTATGCAAGTTGTCCACTCCACACGAATTCTTCCGGGAGTTAGACTAGGGGCTGGCCGACCAGGGGAAGGGAGAGAGGCCCTGGCCACAGCCAGCAGCCGCTAGGGACCCTACGAGGGCACGGATTTCATTTACTGGGCCTCTGGTATTCAATCAGTCACATCCATTGGGGGGGAGGGAGGAGGACAGAAAGGTGGAAGGCTCTGCATCGGGAACTGGCAAGGGAAAAAGATTCTTCATGTTGGAACAAGGGAAAGATTGCCTGCTGAAGAGCACACCTTACTAGAGCCTACTTGCTCTCCATGAATATTTTAGCTCACATGAATAGTTCTGGCCTGGCAATTGGATTGGAATGGGATGGGATTCCCACCAGGTCAAACAAAGTGGGTTCGATTTTTCTCATATAAGGTGTTCGTCAATGGCAGGTTGGTGGGCCTCCTGAACCCTTTCCTCCAGACCTTTCTGAGATTTGGGGGGTGCAGAGCCACATTATCTAGGAACCCCCTGTGTTAACATCTAAACCCTCCTGTCCACCGTCCTTCCTTCACAGCCCGTGGGAGTTGTGGGGGGAGATGTGTACAGCTCTGCTCTTGCTCATCTCCGACCTGGTCTCCGCGAGGCCTAGCCTTTCAGGTCATAAGCCAAGAACTGATGGCTTTGTTCCGTTCCGTTGTCCTTTCTCTGAGGCTGTAAGTGTAGGACGCCCCTGCTGCTGCTAAAACCAGGGAAAGGTCTCGAGTATCAGGAAGTTCTGGGCAAAAAACCCCCATAGGTTAGTATGTCGGATTAATATCCTGCCCCTTCGCATTCATGTGGGCTTGCGTACGTGGATTCAAGGCTCCAAGGGCTTTATTACAGCCTCCCGGGGTTGTCTGAGAAACACCTGATAAAGCCTTTGCAAAACCCCTGCATCGAGCAGGATGTGTTTTCCAAATGGACGTAGGAGCACAACAGCTCTCTTGTCTGCAGACGGGAACTATCAGAAAGGGAAAGCCACAACACAGCTTGTCAGCGCCAGGAGTTAGATCTAATGAGTCACTCCATTAAGGTCAAGAGGGCAAATTACCAGGGATTCTAATTTTCTTTTTGAGATTGACAGAGCACAAAACCCCCAATGTAATCATCAAAATCCTCTTAGAAAGGTTTGCTGCTAACGGTATGACGAACAGTAAAGCAGCAAAGCACACGTAACACAAAAATAAGGCTATGGTTATTCAGTCTGTGCAGAGTAACAGCTCATTAAAGAAATTTTGGAAAAAGATGGATAAAAAAAAGAAAAAGCCACCCCTGAATGTATTCATCAACAATGGCCACTCCTAACATTTTGATGTGTTTTTTTTTCCTTCAATATTTCTTCTGTGCACATTTGTTTCCATGTGGTAATAATATTATTTAAAAATTTATACTGTCTTTAAAAAACTTAAAATTGTAATGAATAACTTACATTGCAATATGTGAAGGTTCTGAGACTCAGAAATTGCATTTTCAGAAATCTTTAATCCATTAATTTATTCACTCAGCAACAGTTCATTTTTTGTGTTTTTTTTTTTTTTTAAATTGATTTCGGATAGAGGGAGAGACAGAAACATTAATGATGATAGTGAATCATTGATTGGCTGCCTCCTGCTGCCCCCTACCGGGGATGGAGCTGTGAATCTAAGATCTCCTGGTTCATAGATTGATGTTCAACCACTTAGCTACCGTGGCCCGACTCAGCAACGGTTTATTAAGGCGTACATTGACTGAGACAGCACAGTATAGTTTTAAGAACTTGGGTTCTGGAGTCAGATTGCTTTGAATTCAAATTTTAGTTTTGTCCTTGGGCAAGTTGCCTCATTTCTATGTGCTTCAATGTCCTCATTGAATTAGGCAGTACAGATTGGTAGTTACACAATAACCACAGGGATGTGGGTTATAGCATAGAGAATATGGTCAGTGATATGGGGCTAAGTATGTGTGGAGCCAGCTGGGTACTTGAAGCGGCTACTAGGACTTGCTATTTTCTCAAGCTCCTACCGTCTCCATTTTGGAAGGAGGAATAAATGCTTCTGAAGAAGCCATGGCTCTTCATTTTGTTCTTGGTTCCAAGTAGCTTTGAGGCAAAACTAGGTTACAAGAAAGAGACTAGGGCTTTTGAAATTTAAATTTAACAAACATGAAAAAGTGTTGAGTGGACTAAGTTAGAGTGGCTGAGCCCAGAGGTAACTTGAAGACATCCAAAGCTAAACCCCATCTCCTCTTGCAATCAGCATATCAGGAGACACACATTGCAAGCCCCAACTAGACCCATATTTGTCCTGCCCAGATAGACCCATCATCAAATTAATCCAACATCAATGCTGCAAACTTTTCTCTTGCCTTGGAGCTCTCTGGAAAACAACCTTAACAGGATACCAAAACACCCAAACAAAAAACAGACCATGAAATGGGCCCATATCACTATTCTTTGGAATTTTAGGGGATAGTTATTAGATTGTAATTCCATGGCAGAAATATTAGGGGTTTGAGAATAGTTTGCAGCCTTGATTTTCTTGTACCATCTTCCTCTCCATTGGGCACTTCAATCCAAAAAGATTATATACTCAACGCAAGAAAGTCTGTGTCATTTAAAAGCAGCACTAATGCTGAAACCGGTTTGGCTCAGTGGATAGAGCGTCAGTCTGCGGACTGGAGGGTCCCAGGTTCGA